TTCGAATAATCCGACATCTACATCCCTCCATGAGAAGACTACGATTATACCAACTCGGGCTTCACATACTGACTAGTATACAGAGGAGGTTTGAACTCCAGACATCCATGTGGACTTATCTGATAAGGTCGTAAATGTCAATATGGGTGACGGAGTGTAAAACAAAGAAGCCTTTGTTACTTCTACTCTTGAAACCTCAACCATTCTCACTTCAACCATTTTCTCTCCTACCATCGAATCTTCTACATTCAAAACAGTCACTTCCATAACATCACTTTCATCACCCATCCCAACGTCACTACTATTTTCAACCATTTCACCAACACGGTGTCTTTTGCTGATTTACAATTCGACCTAGAGGAGGATAATGTACCTGATAACATGATCATGTCAAGTAAACAATTCAAAATCCTCAACAAAAAAATTAACTCTCTTCTACAAGTTCAAGAAAATATTGGGGGAAGGAATTTCGTTACTGAGGTAGAGATGGAGTATTTGTTGAAGTCTTATAATAATCGTCTTTGAAGTTTGGTTAAAATCCTTGAACGAAAATAGGTTGAAAGGTTGGATGTTCATTCCAAAATCTTTGAGTAAGAAATTCAGAAGCTTCATGATGCTGCCAAGGAGCGTTATGATATCTTCATCGACCAAGTCACAAAGATGAAATTATGTGGATCTTAAGGTGGTTGAACTCAAGTCGGAGATGGCAAAAGAGGTTGAAAATCTGAAGAAAAATTATATTGTGTTTTATAGTAAAGTTGATATTGTTGCAGATGATATCACAAAGTTGGTTGAATTCAATACTGACTATTCAACGAATCTTGAAGCAAAATTGGAGAAGGATTCCTAGGTTTTCATAAAGCAGGAAGAATTCTTCACCAGTATCAAGGAATCAATTTCGAAAGCTACCCTTTCAGATCAATTCTCTATTTCTCAAGAATCAATTTCTCAATTGATTTCGTCCATTAAAACTAATATCAAAGTTCAGCATGCTCCCATCCTTGAGTTAGTTTTTCGATTACCAACGAATGATCCACCTACTAGGCAAGTGTCACAGTGGGGAGATAAAGGATGTGGAGGTGTTGGGTCTTTGAAGGATTATGGGAAAGGAGTTGTTGGAAACGTGAGTTTGACTGAAATACCAACTTCACTTCCTATTTTGTTGACCATGACCTCAAAAACAAAAACAACAAGACATTTGACAAAATGGATCACTATAAATGAAGGAGTTGGAGGTTTAAGTTCGAGTTCTGAGCCACGACATTCAAAAGATGATCTAATAAAGAAAAAGCAATACCAGTGGTTCTTTCTAACGAAGAGAAGAAGAAGCAACAAGCTCTGGAGATCGAAAGGCAAAGGCAACTTAACAACATAATGATGTGAATACAAAATGACCCACCTAGCTTGAATAAGGTTGATCCCAACAAGCAGTGGTGTTACGAAACCATTAAAGAAATCATTTTGATTGGAATGAATGACTATTTTCTCAAAGTTCCTAAGAAGAGTTATGATGTTAAAAACACTGATTTTAATTAACTTGATTTCCCAATGAATCACATGTAGTTCACCTCTTTCCAATTCAAAATCATTGAAAACTTCAAAGAAAACTTGTTTGAAGGTATTATACAAAACTTTCGCTATGTGGTTGTTAGATAGAATAATGTTGTTTGTGAATTTTCGATTGCTGATTTCCCACTGATGAACTTAAATTACTTGGTCATTGTAACAAGGATTTTAAGTAGTGTGGATGTTACGAAGCTGACAAAAACCAACAAGGATGACTTTCTAATTGGTTTTTCTCATATCAAGGTTTTCAGCGACAACTATTATGATTGACTAGCAATTACTGATATTGAGCTTGCTATAGCTGTTAATAAGCCTTCGAAAGTTCCTCAATCTTTGCTGAAGGGGAAGCTCAACATTGACAAGTTTAAATATGGAGAGATTATACATCAACCTCTTGGGGTCATATTTCGAGGGAAGAACAAGAGCAGGATGTTGACAAAATTCTTGTTTCAAGTAAGTTATTTAGAGAGGTATACAAATGCTCAATATACAAATCTTCTTGTTCGAATCAACAACTGCAAGAGGAATAAAGCTGAAGACAAGGTAGAGATTTGAAAGATGATTATGTGGTATATTAAGGTTTGCAATGTAGTTCTACATACTTTGAAGTTTATGACGTAATTTCGACTACTCTCACTAAGAAGCAGATTGTAGGGGTCGAAATGTAGTTAGTGAGAAGTCAAAAAACTTGAAGTCGATAACGGTGCGAAATCAGAATGATTTCGACTTTGTATGTCTTTGCAAAACACATTCTGAATTCGAACTAGAATGTTTAGTCCTTGTCCTTTTTTGTATCTGTAACACCCTATAAATAAGTATTAGGTTCAAGAGTATCTTTTCTGCTCTTTCAGTTTGTAAACTCTCTCAAACTCTTGCACTCTTTATAGACGTAATATGAGCCAATCATATCTTACTTACTCAATGTGTTCTTTTTGTTTTCTGTGATTGATTACATGTTCGTTACTCGATTCTAACTCACATTAAATAAAATTCTCCAAACTTTTTGTATCACTAATGTATAATGTATATAAGCTAGGAAAAAATATCAAAAGTGGTTTTCATATAGTAGAATCTTGTTTTCATGATTTATGTGTATTAAATGTAAGAAAAATAGCATAAATAGTAAATTTATTAAATAATTCTTCAAAACTTTTGTAAAACTGTTATTTAATGTATACAAACTGAAAAAAAAATCGAAATTGGTTTTTAAATAGTTTAACCTATTTTTATGATTTTTATGTATTCATTCTAGCTAAAATGGAAATAAATAATAAAAAGTTTAGAAATTTTCAAAAACTTGTAATTTGTAGTTAAAATGCAATAGATGATGTTATGATAATTTCTTGTGATATGTAGAGCAATTAAACTATTTTTCCTTGAGTTATTCTCATAAATAAGAATTAATTCATGAAAAATTATTAAACAGTAAAAAAAATTCACTAAACTTTTTATTTACGATAAATATGTAATGTAAGATATTTTGATGAAGTTTTCAAAGTTTTGGATAAGTGTGGATATTTTTTTTAACAATTTAACCTCTTAAACATTCATTCAATTGGGAAAAATAAGAACTTGTCATGGAAAAATCTATAAACTTTTGCATTTATGATATCCAGAAAGTGTGAGAATTATCAAATATGATTTTTGACATTCATAACTGTATTCTACTATTTATTTCTCTTCAACAAAAATAAAATCGAAATAAACAGAAAACAGTCATAGAAATGCATGCAACTTCATAAAATGTCTTTAATCTGTATATGGGTTGTCCCAAAATATTCTTAGAATTTATTGACCGCAAAAATTGTTTTATGATAATTATTGATTTATTTTCTTACAATAATTATTCTAACTCGAGAAAAGTAAGTTATTTTCTGATAATTTCTAGAACTTCTCATTTTGTTGGTGGGATTCTGGAAAAAATAAAGTTCGGGTTAAAAATAAGTTTTAGATAGTTTGGTGGATATAAATTACTTCATGCATAAGTTTGAACCTTTCAACAACATACTTCAATCATCAAGCATCTTAGGCTTGAAGATCAACACATGCATGTTGGTTTAAGGTCATGCATGAGTCTAAAAAGTTTAAAAATCATTTTTGAAAGAAAGCCTTGGTTCATGTTGTGATTTTTCCATCAAAAGTAGTGTAAAAATGGTTTACTTTGATTTTGAGATAAGCTTGGATCACGCATGTTGTTTTTAGGTGAAATCCTACCACCATCGTCATCAAAATCGCGGTTATGAATATGCGATTCATAATCTATTCATAGAATGGAGTAGAAGTAGAAATAAATGCATAAAATGGTGTAACTTTGAAAAATGAAGAAATGGTTTTCAATTTTTACCTTGAGAACACACTTGATGAAGATGATTTTTTGTGGTGAAGGAGTTTTCTTGGCTGAAATCTTGTGATCGTGGATGATGAATCCAAACATGAGAGAGTTAGAGAGAGTTTGGGTGGAAAGAAAATGAGAAAGAAAGAGAATGATGAAGGAAGAAGAGTACAGGGAAGGGTATTATGGTCAGGTGTTTTGGAAAGAGAGAGGGGCTTTCTTAGGAGATGAGGGACGAAATTTGGGCAATGATACCCTATCTCTCTCTCTCTCTCTCTCTCTCTCTCTCTCTCTCTCTCTCTCTTTCATATTTTTATAAAAAAATTTATTTTATATATTATGCTTCAATTTTTATAAAAATCTTTCCATTTAAATATTTAATTTGTTAAATTTTGCCTAGAATTTAAGGTTTATGGCAAGGTTTTAAATGTTTAATTTTTCTAATTTATAACCTAGTTTTAATCAACTTGAATAGATTTTATAACTCCATAATAAATTTTATGGAGTTTTAGATAATAAGGTTTATAAATTTTAGGTTTTAAGGTTTTTAAGGTTTTGTGATTTTGTTAAATATTTAACAAAATTTTGAAGAGGAATTAAAAGATTTTAAATTATATTTTAGAGTATCATACCCTTTTTCAATTATAACAATGTTTGGAGTTGGATCTAATTCGGGTATTGGCATTTCATATAGTAGTTGAAAAATTCGCTTGAATTGTAAGAGTCAAGTATATTAGCCTTAGATTTTTATTGGATCCATGTTTTTACCATATTTTGGTCCTTATTTCTACTGCTACATCAAATGTATGAGGTGTGTATATGATTTATGCAAATGTGTTCAAGTCGAAGAATGACCTGAATATGACAGTTGTGACAAACGTTCTTCTTTTCTAGCTTCTTTTATAGCTCAAATAGAGGAATTATTCTCTATCATAATTTCTCTCACTTCCTTAACATTTATATCTCATTCTTCAGCTAAAACATTCAGACCAACAGTGATCTTACATTTCTTGGAAGGAATAGGAACTAAAGGATCACCAACGGTAGAAGAACTTCCAGCTTCAGCATCATTAGCTCCCTTTGAGAAGGAAGCTTTCCTCTTTCAAGGATTGAGCTGATCATCATCAAAATCTATGTAACTATTAGTTTGTTGAGGAATCTCCCCCTCAAAATATGAATCAGGGTAGATGACACTTAAAGGAATAGCATGAACAACAGCTTGTGCCAAAAATCCCAGATCAAGAAACCCTTCATAACCATCAGTCTCAGATTGTTCACCAGCGTCTGTGATACGTTGATCATCTTTTGTTGCATCGACGATTTCCTTTTGATTATCAACTTCAACCCTTCCTGATTCAGACATTTCAGGCTAAGATGGAGTTGATGAAATCACCACCATTTGCTGATTAGGGCTTTCTTGACTATTCTCTCCCTTTTTGGTATCATCGGATTGGGAAAGAGAGCTAGGAGGTGGAGAAGGAGTGCGAGGAGGGGGATGAGATGGTGGAGGAGGAGGTGGAGGTAGCTTTGATTATAGAGGTGGAGGTAGATTATCACCTGGAGAATTTGGTGGAGTGTCATCAGTAGCCATATCATCATCATCACTCAAGGTCATTATGCATTTGATATCAGGCACATCCTTTTTTACTCTAGTCAATCTTTCTCCAAGAGATTGAGATATTTGCACCAATAGAGAGAGTTGAGAGAGCAAAATGGTTTGAAAGTTGGAGCTTGATTCCCCTTGATAAAAAAGAAGCAGTCAGAATAGGTGTTGCCATAGGTGGAACAACTGCAGCTTGAGGAGAAAGAGACACTGATCTTGGAGAAATCACATCTTGGATCAGTGGATCATTAGTTTGCACTTGAGGTGGGGTTTATCCACGTTATACAAAATCATGTGTAGAATTCATTCCCTGAACAAAAGTTTCACCTTTATCAGTGGCAGGTCCATCATGTTCATCTTCAGCGTCTTCTTCATCATCAACGCCTTATTCATCATCATCCTCTTCTTCAGAGTCAAAGGAATAAACAACGTAGGAATATGCAATAAATCTTTCCATCCTTTAGGTAGTAGAGAGATCATCATTAAAAGGAGCAATGTTGATGATCTTTGAATAGAGGGCATGAAATGGAACGATGATACCATGATTATCAAAATAACCTTCATCACGAACCAAAATCATTCCAATCCAACTAGTATAAAGAACATATGTTGGCTTCTTGTTCCCAGTGATACAATCAATCAATTGATCAAGAAAGAGTTGAGAAAAATCATGTCTTTTGTTGCATACAATGGAATACAAAATTCGTTTCTCAAAAATATTCAATTGATCCAAGCTCCCAGTCATGTGTCCAATATATTTACGAATTACCCCTGATAGGTACTTCCACCCTATACCAAAACACTAATGAATAGTATATTTGTATGGATCATGAGAGGTGTCCTGAAGATAGAACTTATACCCTAATCTTTCATGTCACAACCCAAAACTTTTTTGTTTTGAAAGCTCAGTTAGTCAACTCAACTCAGTGTCAGACTCACTCCTGCTATCATTTAGCACAATTTAGAGTCTGTTTGAGTGTTCTGAGCCTAGTACACTTAAGGAATGAGTGTTAGGAAGTACCTGCTAGAGACACTGTGCAACATATCAAGCCAGAAAGCCCATCACAAGGAGTTCACGACCACAAGATAGAGTTTACGGCCGTAAACTCTGTGGGCCGTAAACTCCCCCTATAAGACTCATCTCTTCAACTTTCCTTTCATTATTTCATTTCCACCTCAAGAAAACTTCAAATCCTCTCAAGTATCATCGAGTTTTCATCCTAGATCTTCCAAAAACGTAAGTGTTCTTCCTTTGATTTGTTAATACATCTCTTAATCTAGTATCATCTCATGATTTCATCCATGAAAACATTCATTTTAACTAGATCTTCAAATCTTCAAGTTTCACCAAGAACACACACTAGTGTTTTTGGACCTTAATCACCATTTCAAGCCTCTATATCGTAATTACTCTTTCCTTAACTTTTTATCTAGATGAAACACCTGATTAGAGCCTTAAATCATCATCAAAGAGAGTTACGGCCAGGAGTTTACACCTTGGTCGTAAACCCTTATAAGTGGAGTGTTTTAAGCCTTAAACACTTCTAGACCCTTGCCAACCCTTAGAACATTTGATCCATTGAAACTCTTTACCTTTAAGACTCAAAATAAGACCATTTGGTTAGTTTATGGCCATAGGGTTTACACCACGGCCATAAACACCTCGGTACCCTCCAAAACATTGGTTTTGCTCATCCTTGTGAAGAGCAATGTTCCCTTAATTTTCCTTAGCATTCAAACATCCTCTTATGCACATTACCTTGAGTTTACAGCCATGAGTTTACACCTTGGCCGTAAACACCTTTTGTTGGCCTTAAACATTCCTTAGTTGAATCACATGTGATTCCAACACTTGGTCAAAGTGTTTCCTGGTCCCGTGAGGTGTTTCTTTGCATTTGGTTGCTTATAAACACTATATTTATGTAAATATATGCCATTATATTTCATTTAGGATTTGTTTAGTCTCGGGACTTCATTCGTGGAACTTCTCATCCTTATGCGCATGTTCGTTTGAATCACCCACATCTGGTGAGTTCATACCCAGTAATCAATCTTTTAAACTGCTTTAAATGCTTTTAAGGGGGGAATACAAGTTGAACACAATGATAATTGTGTAAATGTTTGTTATAAACATCTTTCAAAAGATGGCTTATGTCTTTTAGAAGTGATCAAAACATTTCAAAAGCTCTTTTCAAGTTATGTGATTTCATAGTCTGTAAAACTTCGTCTTTAAAATATAATCATAACATGGTAGATAAAATGAGTCTTTCCTTCAAGTCAGTATCAGTTTAAATAAATATACTAGTAGATTGTAATAGGTATAGTTTAGGGGTTCAGTTCATACAATAACAAGTACAGAGAAAGAACATACTATAACAAGTACAGGTAGGAATATACTATAATAACAAGTACAGGGAGGATCATATTATTAGAAGTACAGGGTGAAACACAGGGAGGAACAGATGAATAAATCAAGTAATATATACTTACACAATGTCCCTAGTATTCTAGGAAGACATTCTACCCTTAACTCATTGTTTGTAACAAATTAAGGTAGTAATATATCTTTCCAAGTTTGCGTTAACATTAGTACAATTACACGTATTTGGGTTAGCAGACACGAGGTGATAAAATATAATAATATATCTTTCCGAGATTGCATTAACTTTACTACGATTACACGTATCTGGGTTAGCAGGCACGAGGTGATAAAATATAATAATATATCTTTCTGGGTTTGCGTTAACTTTAGTACGATTACACGTATCTGGGTTAGCAGGCACGAGGTGATAAAATATAACAATATATATTTCAGGTTTGCATTAACTTTAGTACAATTACACGTATCTGGGTTAGCAGGAACGAGGTGATAAAATATAATAATATATCTTTTTTAGTTTGCGCTAACTTTAGTACGATTACACGTATTTGGGTTAGCAGGCACGAGGTGATAGCAATATATTAAATTGAAATTATTTATACAGAGTTCACTTATAAATATTTGACAGTAATGAATAAATCGTACAATTATACAAAACTCACATCAGTACCAACTAAGTCATCTAAAACAATAGAACGTTGAGTAAACTAAACTAGAAACTAATCCGTAAAAGGTTTAATCCATTTTATTAAACCAACATAACTTAAAGGACCTTAGGTTGTTAACTCTACAATACGTTAGTTTATACATCAAGGTTATATATAATTAATATCCAATAGGTGATTGGATGTGTGCATTCCGCCTCATTCTCTGTTCCTTGTTTGGTTGTGGGCTTAAGGCAGATTCACACAATGAACTATCTGTTCGATATTAGATTATAAATATAGCTGGTATAAACTAAGTGATTGTAGAAGGAACCACTGTGGTTACTATTTTATTGTAAGAAATAAGAGTTTTCTTAAAGAATCTTTTCATTCAAATATCAAGGAACTATTACAATTAGCTCCGTGAGTACTAAGGGAATACACCATGATTATATACAACAAGGATCTAAAAATCAATGGGATGTGTGTCATCCGCCTCATTCCCTGTTCCCTTTTTGGTTGTGGGTTAGTGAAAATACATACATTCGATTCTTTGTTTACTTTGAGTTTTTATATAACCTGTATCCATTAAGTATTCATAGAAAGGATTGTTGAGTCATTTTTACGTATCTTTCATCAAAGTAGGAAATATAGGATTTTCTGGAGGAACAGGCGAACTTTTCTAAACAAAACTTACGACTTACTTACATCACTAAAATCTTATGAAATCACCAGCTTAATTGTTGATCAACTCTTTCAAATTAACTTGTATTATCAGGTAACTAGTAGACAAGTACTCACACTGGGAATTCAGAAGATGGAGCAGTATAGCTTCAAGTCTTGTTTTGTTATTTGCTTATCTATTCTATGTTTTGTGAACACATACTTTGTAAACACTTTCTTTCTAATGAAATGGTTGTTTATTACTTGATTAATATGATGCATGTCTTGTGATACTAAACAAGAAGTCCTCCACCCCTGAACGTTTCCGTCGTTCCGGTTTTCGGGTGTGACATTTCACAAATGGACTTGCATTTTTCTTCCGAAGGAGTTTCAAAATAGTTTTCTAATCGAGGTAGACAAAGAGTTGTTCAAAAAAATTACACATCATTAGCAACCCTACATTGACCATCTCCAATGGTTCTGGTAATGGTTTGAGAATCAGAATCAACAGAGCATGAAGAGTAGAACTCACATACTTGTTTAAGGTAGAATGGTTGTGGCCAGTCGTAGAAGGCATATCAAAGAGGGAAACTTTTGACATAGTTGATGAAGTCTTCAATTCCTGAGTTTGTGTAACATACACATTTTGAAATCGTGTTTTATAATGAATAATATTGTGAACTACTATGTGAATTTGAGTATTGAATTCTCACAGATAGTTTTTTACTAGAAATGAAGTAAAACTATGTTTAGAATCACTCAGAAAATATTGGAAGTCTTATGAGATTCCAATTAAAAGCCAAATAGTGAAATTTAGCGAAAATATAAAATTTGAAATAACTAAAATTTTATTGTTGAAAGTTGTAGATAATCTCGTTAGAAACATATAGGCGAAAACCTCATCGAAATCCGAGTTATAACAAAGAAGTTATGACCAATCGAAGATCCACGACAAAACCGGCACGATGCAAAAAGACATAAAAAGTGAGTTTTTGATAAACTACTTTTTGGCCTTAGTAATCTAAATTAAAGTTGTAGTATTCTTTAAACCGAGAAGTTCGATAAAAAGAACGCCAAAATCTGACGTTGAATGAGGAAGTTATGATTTTTCTAAGTTTCAGCGTAGCAGTAGACAGCTAAAAACTCAAATTTTAGATCGTGTGATATTTAGCCGACACAAACTAAACTAGAATTGAAGATCTCGTCAATAGTTGTACAACGGTAAAAAGTCTGACAAAAACAGACGTCGGATGAAGAAGTTATGAATGTTTAACGGATTTTCCTGTCCTGGTCTATTAAAAATGATAATATTAAAAATAAAGTCAAAATTAGCCAACAAAGTCTAAACGAAAGTTGTAGAGCATAATTTTACCTAAGTGTGCATATAAGGAACGTCAAAAATGGAGCCCGTATGCGAAAGTTATGAATTTTAAAAGATTTTGGCACATTTTTCGAGAATTTTCGCAAGGATAAGGCTCTTGTCCGGATAGGCTGCATCATCTCGCATGAACAGTAGCCACGTGTTGCCTTCTGATTGGACTGAACTTCGGTCAAGTAACCTTCTGACACGCCCTTCGGCATCCTAGGAGATGTCTAAGACGTCCCATAAGACGCCTCACAGAAGGCTACCACCGAGCAGCTTCGCTGCTGACTCACTTCTTGGTCGACTTCGGATTCCACCCTATAAAAGGGATGCCTGTGAGACCTTCCGACTAATTTCAAGAAATTGCCATTTTTGGCCCCTCTTTCCATATTTTGACTATTTCTATATCCCCCGAAGCCCCGATATTGTTTTTAAAGCCCATAATACGTCCCGAAGTGCCTGGAGGGCCCAAGAAATTTATCTTTTTTGGTTTAAAGCTCTACTCTCGCAAGGTCTATTTTTCAACAAATCTCCCGGTTTTCAACGAAGAAAGTCTTATTTAGAGCCGAAGTGCTGCTCAAATTACTACTTTAACCCCCGGTTATTTTAAGGTGAGTTTAATATATAGGAACAATTGTATGTTATGCGTTATATGTGCTATGTGCTTTTCAGTGTTATTATTCCGGGTTATTTTC